TTCCATGCTTCCATGCTTCCATGCTTCCATGCTTCCATGCTTCCATGGTTCCATGCTTCCATGCTTCCATGCTTCCATGCTCCCATGCTTCCATGCTTCCATGATTCCATGCTTCCATGCTTCCATGGTTCCATGTTTCCATGCTTCCATGATTCCATGCTCCCATGCTTCCATGATTCCATGCTTCCATGCTTTCATGGTTCCATGTTTCCATGCTTCCATGCTTCCATGCTTCCATGCTTCCATGATCCCATGCTTCCATGGTTCCATGATTCCATGCTTCCATGCTTCCATGGTTCCATGCTTCCATGGTTCCATGTTTCCATGTCTCCATGCTTCCATGTTTCCTTGCTTCCATGCTTCCATGATTCCATGCTTCCATGATTCCATGCTCCCATGCTCCCATGATCCCATGCTTCCATGGTTCCATGGTTCCATGGTTCCGTGGTTCCGTGGTTCCGTGGTTCCATGATCCCATGATCCCATGCTCCCATGATCACCCACTCCCGTCCGTTTCCAGGCGTATCGGAGACGCTGTGGGCCATCGAGATGTGGGAGCCGGCGGCGCAGGCGTTCCGCCTCAACAACCCCGGCACCACGGTGTTCACGGAGGACTGCAACGTTCTGCTCAAGCTGGTGATGTCCGGCGAGAAAACCAACTCTCTGGGGCAGAAACTGCCTCAGAAGGGAGACGTGGAGATGCTGTGCGGGGGCCCCCCGTGCCAGGGCTTCAGCGGCATGAACCGCTTCAACTCCCGCACCTACTCCAAGTTCAAGAACTCCCTGGTGGTTTCCTTCCTCAGGTAGAGGGATGGGGGTCTTTTGGGGGGGCTTCATCCCCGAAATTTGAGTCCCGCCTTCGTAAATCTTTGTGTCCCCCCCCCCTCCGACCCTCCCAACCCGCGCAGTTACTGCGATTATTACCGCCCGCGCTTCTTCCTCCTGGAGAACGTCCGCAATTTCGTCTCCTTCAAACGTTCCATGGTGCTGAAGCTGACGCTGCGCTGCCTCGTCCGCATGGGCTACCAGTGCACCTTCGGGGTCCTGCAGGTGGGTTTGGGGCAGACGGAGCCGAGGGGGCCGATGGCGGGCAGCTGCGTTGACTGTGAGCCAGCAGTGTGCCCGCGTGGCCACGAAGGCCATCAGTGTCATGGTTGACCAATGGTTGACCAGTGGTTGACCATCAGTTGACCATTGGTTGACCATTGGTTGACTATGAGACAGTGGTGTCCCCTTGTGGCCAGGAGGGCCAGTGGTGGCCAGCTGGGATGACTGTGAGCCAGCAGTGTGCCCGCGTGGCCACGAAGGCCATCAGTGCCCTGGTTGACCAGTGGTTGACCAACGGTCTACCACCAGTTGACCATTGGTTGACCATTGACTATGAGACAGTGGTGTCCCCTTGTGGCCAGGAGGGCCAGTGGTGGCCAGCTGCGTTGACTGTGAGCCAGCAGCATCCCCTGCTGGCCACAAAGGCCGTCGGTGTTGTGGTTGATGAGTGGTTGACCACCAGTTGACCACTGGTTGACCATTGATTGACCATTGGTTGGCTATGACACAGTGGTGTCCCCTTGTGGCCAGGAGGGCCACTGGTGGCCAGCTGGGATGACTGTGA